AAAGCACTATTAGACGTTTATTTATGCGAATCCTCGCGCTGGCGAGCATACTGCCCCGCGCTGAGAACATAACGAGCAGTGCTACACCCTTTTTTCACTTGTGCCTTTCAGGTGAACGACAGCCACTGACCGACAAGAACAAAACCGACCCGGGAAACTTGGGCAAAAGCCTCGATCCTGTGTATCAATCCGTGAATCCGTGAGGCAGCAGCAAGATGCATCCAACCTCCCAGCCTCCGAAGCTAGATCACCAATAATCCATCAATTTTCAAGATCTATAGGAAAGTTTTGGAACCTCAAGAACAAAACCGACCAAATAACAAAACCGACCCAGGAAACTTGGGCAAAATCATCGGCCCTCGTTATCAATCCGTGAAACTGTGAACAAGGGAGCCGGTTGCACTGATTGTCGAGGTGAAGGTCATTTGGGGAACTCGCCGCCGTGTACGTAGTTTGAGTGGGCATGTCGGCGCTAGTTTTGTAAGTACCCTTTTCTGTTTCCCCTCACTCATAATTCTGAATATGTAAACGGTATTTGGAAAGCATCAATTCCATAGGTTTTGACGGTGGATTATCTTTAGGCTCAAAGAAAGCCTGGCAACAACAGGCCTATTAACCTGATCTGCGTGGTGAGAACAGATTGTATAGCGGGCTACTCTGTATCCCCGGTGCAACATCGATTCCTACCAAACCATCGGCGCGCGACGTAGGGGATGTCCAACGGGCTGCCATGGAGGTGATCATTGCCCTCCAATCCGTTGACTACAAAACCCGTCTGGAGATGCTTGATCTCCTTTTCCAAGATTACCGTCGGCTCCAAGAGAGCCTAATTAGCTCCGCCTTATTTGAGAAACTTTTAAACGATGAGGTTTTCATCGTTGGTTCTATAAATGCATCCGGAGCACAGTGAAAACTCTTGCAGAACTAGGGCGTGAACCTTGGTCATTCCTCAGTGTTTAATAACCATCCCCTGAAGGTTATTCATGTTGTATCGGAGACCCAGTTAAAATCACTTTCGAATACTTCATGCTCTGTCAATCTACAGCCTAAGCTTAATGCCTGAAAGGCAGTGACACCTTTTCTCGCCTGTGCACCTTAGATTAGCCAAAGCACACAGGCAACTCCCTGATCCTGTTTGTCAATCCTAGGATCCATTTAAATGAGAGTTTCCATCAATCCTATCGGCTGCGTGTTACGTCTAGGCTCAGACGTTCTCCCCTTTCGAAAAAACATAAGTTCTATCGCTAAATTGGTTTGTATTGTGAGAAGTGTCTCACATTGGATTCCGATCCTTCTGGTTTAAGCGTTCTTTAAAGGCGAACTGAGCAAGATAGGTATTTCGGAGTTAATTTAGATACCATCGCCGGTCAGCCAATTGGCATCGAATCCGCCGGGAAACCAGACTTCTCGTCCGCAGGACTTTTGCATGTCCCTCCCCACATTCTGCAGGACTTCTGAAGCCCTTATTCTGTAGTATGAAAGGCAGATCCACCGAAGTGGACCTGGCGTTATCGAAATGAAGGGCAGCTAGGTGATTGACATTTCTCATGCAAAAGAATCAAATTCTCCCAAGACGGACTCTGCCTTGGCTATTTCATTTGAAAAGGTAGACAAGTTGTAAGGTGATACAGCGCACCAGCGATGCTCTTCTGGCCGACTTCATGCATATCATCAGAGAAAGAACAAAACCAAATAACAAAACCGACCCAGGAAACTTGGGCAAAATCATCGGCCCTCGTTATCAATCCGTGAAACTGTGAACAAGGGAGCCGGTTGCACTGATTGTCGAGGTGAAGGTCATTTGGGGAACTCGCCGCCGTGTACGTAGTTTGAGTGGGCATGTCGGCGCTAGTTTTGTAAGTACCCTTTTCTGTTTCCCCTCACTCATAATTCTGAATATGTAAACGGTATTTGGAAAGCATCAATTCCATAGGTTTTGACGGTGGATTATCTTTAGGCTCAAAGAAAGCCTGGCAACAACAGGCCTATTAACCTGATCTGCGTGGTGAGAACAGATTGTATAGCGGGCTACTCTGTATCCCCGGTGCAACATCGATTCCTACCAAACCATCGGCGCGCGACGTAGGGGATGTCCAACGGGCTGCCATGGAGGTGATCATTGCCCTCCAATCCGTTGACTACAAAACCCGTCTGGAGATGCTTGATCTCCTTTTCCAAGATTACCGTCGGCTCCAAGAGAGCCTAATTAGCTCCGCCTTATTTGAGAAACTTTTAAACGATGAGGTTTTCATCGTTGGTTCTATAAATGCATCCGGAGCACAGTGAAAACTCTTGCAGAACTAGGGCGTGAACCTTGGTCATTCCTCAGTGTTTAATAACCATCCCCTGAAGGTTATTCATGTTGTATCGGAGACCCAGTTAAAATCACTTTCGAATACTTCATGCTCTGTCAATCTACAGCCTAAGCTTAATGCCTGAAAGGCAGTGACACCTTTTCTCGCCTGTGCACCTTAGATTAGCCAAAGCACACAGGCAACTCCCTGATCCTGTTTGTCAATCCTAGGATCCATTTAAATGAGAGTTTCCATCAATCCTATCGGCTGCGTGTTACGTCTAGGCTCAGACGTTCTCCCCTTTCGAAAAAACATAAGTTCTATCGCTAAATTGGTTTGTATTGTGAGAAGTGTCTCACATTGGATTCCGATCCTTCTGGTTTAAGCGTTCTTTAAAGGCGAACTGAGCAAGATAGGTATTTCGGAGTTAATTTAGATACCATCGCCGGTCAGCCAATTGGCATCGAATCCGCCGGGAAACCAGACTTCTCGTCCGCAGGACTTTTGCATGTCCCTCCCCACATTCTGCAGGACTTCTGAAGCCCTTATTCTGTAGTATGAAAGGCAGATCCACCGAAGTGGACCTGGCGTTATCGAAATGAAGGGCAGCTAGGTGATTGACATTTCTCATGCAAAAGAATCAAATTCTCCCAAGACGGACTCTGCCTTGGCTATTTCATTTGAAAAGGTAGACAAGTTGTAAGGTGATACAGCGCACCAGCGATGCTCTTCTGGCCGACTTCATGCATATCATCAGAGACTGCAAACTCGGTGTTGACACTGATGCTTCACTACCGTTGAACCGCAAAGTTTATCTAATTTTATCCAAAGCCTTAGAGTATACAGAAGAGAAAAGATTGAGTGGGGAAATGGACGTGGCCTAACACAGGAATCCTGAAGTACCTAGACTTCTAAGCGTTTAATGAGAACCTGGAAAGAAACTGGCAACACGAACTCCTCTGACATCAATAAGCCGCTATTTCTTGCGCTGTCTCCAGCCTAGCGCAGAACGGGTCACGGGGACCCCACCCTGGAGGGTGTATTGCACCTGCACACATCCGCTCCACTGTCATATAGCTAGTGGTCAGAGCTGCCGTGGCAACAGCGCATTTCCTGGGGTGATCCTTATCATGGAGAGTCAAACAAGATGAAGGCCGGTGATTTCTCCGTGGAGGAACAAAATCCATTTATTTGACCGGTTCATTTCAGTTCGGGTACACGATGTCGCAGCCGAACCCAGTATCACTCGGATTCTCCCCAAAATTTCCCGCCAAGCTCGTAATGTACTGAGAGGCTGTGTACTTAGGCTACGACTTCCCCAAATTTAGTCATCCAATGCCCTAGAGCAAGACGTATGGATCCTCATCCTAGACACTTTGAAGGCAATTGTTGCGTTTGCCACCACAATACTAGCTTTTACATATAATTATGATGTCCTTAAAGTTACATTAAAAAAACCATCACTGTCCATCGCGTGCGCTGACCACCGAGGCGTTCTGACAGCCAACTTATGCCATTTTGTCAGCCTGAGTATTCTTTTAGGGCCTTTACACAGTGTTATTTTGCGAGATGTGTGACCTTGGCGTCGAAATCCCCATAAGCTGAAATCAGTTCTATGTAGCTAGTTCAGTGATCCGGTATAATAAGGTGGATGGGGAAAATTGGTCACATGTGTTAGTCCACCAGAAACATCATAATCATCTTCAGATATAAAAGCCAAGCACTCGCTTTACGGTGGCTTTAGCTGCCACAGCTTCGTTCACCGACGGTTTGGGGATTTAAGGGCAGATGGGTGCACATTGGAAGCGTTAGCTGATATCATTGGTGCATGGACGCAGGAGTGTCAGTGCAGTCAGTTTTGATTGAAGAGGTTGTGGTGCATAGCTGTGCACTGGGGGCAACAGCTTGGATTCATATGGGCCACTAAACACATGACTGAGCCACGTCTGATTGTCCCTAAACGCAGGACCCTCGTTCTTGGAGACGGGGATGACCGTTGCAGCTGATTTTGCTGGTAATGGCTTTGATACTTCGTTGCCGAGCCACTGTTTTACTCTATGGATTGTTTGCATACCTCGTACGGTTGTGCGAAAAAAGCTGTTAGAGAAAATAGGAGTGTTTGTTTCCGGGTCAAAATCAGAGTGGGGCAAACAGTGAGGTGACCAACTTTTGACCTGGTAAAAGCCTATGGAAGAGGTTACGTAAAGTCTGTGCGCTCTCGGTGTGACTCGCCTTCCAGGATGGGGGTCGCACGATCCCCACTGCGTCTGGTTTGGTACGCTGCTAATCAGTGTCGGTGGTGTGGTAATCGGACTCTCATTCTTCGAGTGTCTTGTGATCCTGACGCAATGGCTCATTATATCTACCATGTGTGATTTGCACTCATCCCCAAGGCTGAAAGTGCTCTACTGAACTGAATCCCAGTAAACAATCGTCTTCGTGCTTTGCGGTTGTCTGGCTCAGTTGAGATCAATGCAGGTCGATGCGGTAAACGGTGTTTATTTGCCCCATCAGCATACTCCCCTCATAGACTGCATTTCTAAGACTGAGGTTGGGTTTTATCAAGATCTGTCACGACTGATTCGGTCAGCAAGAAGAACGGATATAGCAATCCCGGTGGGTGATATGAATGCCTAAGTTGGATGACTAAGTCCGGAAGAAGCACTATTAGGTGGTACATTTGGAGTCGACGCTAAACGTACGAATAATGGATAGCAACTCTCTCGGCTGTGTGCTGATCATCGTCTGTTTCTGGCCAAAAAACTCACATCGAGTTAGTTAGAGGCCACCAACCACATTCATGGACCCAGTTGAACCATTTGGCTATCAGTTACAGACGGAGAGCATCAATTAAAGGTTTTTGTCCCTTCAGAGATATGCAGCTTGCCTCTGATCATGTCGTACG